AATCCTAATTCTTTGGACTTTTGCTGAAGCTTCCAAGAAACTGGATGCATTTGCATTTCTTGCGTGCAATTGGGATTGCAATGTCAATGAGAGCAGGAATTGCTGCAGATGCTGCAGCTGCTTTGCTTTTCCGAATACTTGCTCAACCTGCTTTGCTGTTTCCTCCATTGAGACAAGTTGATGGTGTAGAAGTTCAACATGAACCACTTGGCGGTTACATTTCATGTGAACGTAAGCAGGTAGTTTCGTCTTCAATATTCTTTTAATGCTCATAATGAAATCTCTGTACTACACTTTTTTTCACATTGGAAATATTTTGAACAGAAAGAAGTACCTGCAATGGAAGCTACAACTGAAGCTACTGCCCAAGGGATTGCATCAATGCTTTGTGCCCATGGCCCCGAAGTTGAATGGAGAATATGTACCATATGGGAAGCTGCTTATGGTTTGATTCCTCTAAGTTCCTCTGCCATTGATCTTCCTGAAATCATTGTCGCAACACCTTTACAGCCTCCTATATTATCATGGAATTTGTATATTCCTCTTCTTAAAGTCCTTGAGTATCTTCCTCGTGGAAGCCCTTCTGAAACATGTCTCATGAAGATATTTGCTGCCACCGTTGAAGCAATTCTTCAGAGGACGTTTCCACCTGAGTCTTCTAGAGAACAAATCAGAAAAGCAAGATACGAATTTGGGTCTGCATCCAAGAATCTTGCTGTGGCCGAGCTCCGTACGATGGTTCACTCACTATTTTTGGAGTCATATGCCTCTGTAGAGCTTGCCTCTCGGCTTCTTTTCATAGTGTTAACTGTCTGTGTCAGTCATGAAGCACAGCTGAGCAGAAGAAAGCAACCTAAAGGTGAAGATCGAAACATTTCTGAAGAACTAATGGACGACTCACAAGAAGCCACCAGAAAACAAAGAGACATGGCAAATAAACGGTCGAAAAAACTGGGGCCCGTTGCTGCATTTGATTCTTATGTTATTGCTGCAGTTTGTGCACTATCCTGTGAACTTCAGCTCTTCCCCTTGATTTTGAAAGGGGGCAATCATTTAGGTGCCAGAAATATATGTGATGTAGATAAACCTGCAAAAGTAAGTGATCCACCCAGTGACTTACGAAATGGTATCGACTCTGCTGTTTATCACACTCGTCGATTATTGACAATTCTAGAGGCACTTTTTTCTTTGAAGCCATCTTCTATAAGCACGTCATGGAGTTACAGTTCAAATGAAATAGTGGCTGCTGCTATGGTTGCAGCTCATGTTTCGGATCTTTTTAGATGTTCGAAGGCTTGCATGAATGCTCTTTCCATCTTGATCAGATGCAAGTGGGATAATGGAATTTACTCTCGGGCATCTTCCCTTTTCAACCTCATTGATATTCATAGCAAGGCTGTTGTATCCATTGTCAATAAAGCAGAACCATTAGAAGCACACCTACGGCACACCCCTGTTTGGAAGGAAACAACTTTGTGTGTTAATGGGAAAAAACGTACTACAAGTACTAGCAGTAGACTGCAGTGTGAAAACTTGCCTTGTACAGAAAATCTACTAAAATGTGAGAAGTCTTCCTACTCTGGTGAGGATGACAGGTGTATAGCGGGCAAAGGAATTGCGAGTTTCCCAATAGATGCTTCAGATTTGGCAAACTTTTTGACAATGCACAGGCATATAAGTTTTAGTTGCAGCGGGCAAGTTCTTAGGTGTGTCCTGACAGAGAAACAAGAATTATGTTTTTCAGTCGTTTCATTGCTCTGGCAAAAATTGATTGCATCACCTGAAACACAACCGAGTGTTGAAAGTACTTCTGCACAGCAAGGATGGAGGCAGGTAACGTGCCTGACTCACTCTTTAACATGTCATGGTTATTAATGACATTTTAAGCTTTTATAATTTACAAAATAAAAACATATCTCCCTCACCCCCCTCCCCCTGGCTCGCCAAAAGTGGAACAGGTTGTATATCTCATTTCTGTTTTTATGCACAAAAGGAGAAATTATTAACCAAAAGGGAAAAAATGAAAGAAAGAAAAAGGAATGTGTATGGATAGCATGAAAGATCCATCTATAAGAAATAATAAAGACTACAAAAGGAGAAATATCCGATCTTATCAATGAAGGCTCAATGCAGTGCCCAAACAGAAGAAAGAAAGACTGCCGACGGCTCTATGATTCTGTTACTCAAGTCCCTTGTTCCTCTGTCGCATATGCTGTTATCTCTCTCTCTCTCTCTTTTTTGGTATAACAATGGAAAATTTTGTCCTAGTCATTCTGTTTTTGGCCATAGGATAATTATTTGTCCAGTTTCCTATTAAAAGTTTTAGTCTGAAATGGAAGTTTTTGCAAGCAGTCCTAGGTTTATTTTAGACCATACTTGAAAGATTAAAATCAGCGAGTCTTAGCTTATTTCTAGTGTAATCTTATTAAACGATCTTCTCGAAATATGTTGCAAATTTTAAAAATAATAGATCGTGTACATGGGAAACTCAGGACTTATTGACTATTTTCCCATGAAAAAATAAAAACCCAATTATCAAGATGGTGACTAGATGTAAAATTTTGATCAGATGACATGCATTCTCAGATGATGTTTCCATTTGGAATCAGATTTATGACAGGTTTCGTAAAATAGATTAGAGAGTACTGGACAATATTAATGAAGAAAATGAAACAAAATTGTCTTGTCCAGTCCGTCCTTCACAGCACTACACACTGAACCCTTATTGTTTACGAGTTTAAGTTGCAAGTAATACCCCAGCTAGAAAACTAACTAATGAATACGTGGCTTTTATGCTCTAATCCATTGAAAGAATTATAAGTTTATTGCTCTTTTGATTATCTTCTGTACATAATTACAGGTGGTTGATGCACTCTGTAATGTAGTATCAGCATCACCGGCAAAAGCTGCAACAGCTGTTGTTCTTCAGGTCCAGATTTTGTTTTTCTTGAATTACTCATGAAAATGAGTTTGTGAATTAGATTTTATCTGGAAACTGAACTTTTAACAATAGATTTCTAATTCCGGGGTTGCAACTAAGCCACTGACAAATCAGTTCTCTTTTTCTTTTTCTACATAGAATAATTAGGAATGACTTAAAATGAATTATATCAGGTTTCCAAGCAACGAATTCATATTCCAGCTTTATTTTAATTCTAGTCGCTATCATTTGTTTAGTCACTTTCTTTGCCATGATGCATTTGTCAGGCGGAGAGGGAATTGAAGCCATGGATTGCTAAAGATGATGATCTTGGTCAAAAGATGTGGAGGATCAACCAAAGAATCGTAAAAGTGATTGTGGAGTTGATGAGAAATCATGAAGCACTGGAATCTTTGGTAATACTTGCGAGCGCATCCGACCTCCTCCTACGGGCCACAGACGGGATGCTTGTTGATGGAGAAGCATGCACTTTACCACAGCTGGAGGTAACATTTATGGATTTTAGTCTGGTAACATCCCCATTTTCCACTCTTTCATTCACCTTTAAATCTGTCTTTCCACCAATCTGACCCTTTAAGTGCTCTCATTTCTTCTATTCTAGTGGTGTGCTTTTTAGAAATATTTACTCCTCTTTTGACATTAAGAGAATTTTTAAAAAGTTTACCAATACATTCTTTTATAAGTAAAAAACAGGTAAGTTTATATAAATAATACTTTTTCCACTTAAAAAAGTAAGTTATCCAAGTATGTTTGGAAATAAAAAGTTTATGAGATGTAACTTTTACTTATTTTCAAAAATTGCCAAACATGCCGAGCTGATGAATTTCTGTATCATATTATTTTTATGATATATTCACGTGCTTGCACCCGAAAATGTTGGATAGCTGTTGGAAGTAACCGCTAGAGCAGTTCAACCAGTGCTCGAGTGGGGAGAATCAGGATTGGCAGTCGCAGATGGCCTTTCAAACCTGTTGAAGGTATAAAAACCTCTCTGATTAACATGCTTAATGATATTATATCGTTTCATTTAGAAAAAAGAAACTTCAGTTAACTCGCAACC